GACCCAAATGATGCTTTTGAAGGCTTCTCCTGCCCTGCCCTCTAAGCTTATTTCACACTCTAAGCCGATGTCAAGTTTCAGTTGTTGCTAATTAGCGATACTGAAAGTGAGTGGGAGCAAGGAACGCTTGAAGAGGGGTGTTGAAGGTTGCTATGAGGAAGGTAGAGGGCGCTAAAGACAAAGTCTACACAGATATACCTGGGGCCAGCTCTCTACATTGATTCATCTCTGCTAATCAACAGAGATGAATAAATGTTGAGTGTCTTGTTGCCAGGCTGGATGTATGCATAATTTCTGGGTGAGCAAAGATAGGTAATGTCTGTAGAATGTTAAGAGGGACGCTAAAGCAGCCCAGAGATGGGCCACTTCACCCCAACCAAAGGGTTTAGGAAATGCTTCCTGGAAAAGAGAAGGCGTAAGCTAAGTCTTGAGGAAGAAGAAAGATCTAGCCAAGCAAAGATGGAAGTGTGTTCTAGGTGGTGAAAGAAAAACAAGTAAAGGTGTAAACTTAAGGGTTCTTTGGGTCGTGAATGTGGATGGAACCAGTGGAAATAGCTTGTCTCTGCTCCTCAAATGGCTGGGCATGATTCAGATTCATGGGAGATGGTGTCATCTGGCAGCTACTTCCCTCACATTTCTCATGTCTGGCCTGGGATTACTCAAAAGCTGAGGTCAGCTGGAATTGGCAACTGGAGCGCCCGAGCAGTTTGGGTTTTCTTACAGCACAGGGGGGGGGGGCGGTAATTGGACTTCTTATCGGTCTTCTTTATATGTCATCACCAGAGAGTAAGCACCATGAAGACAGAGAATGTATCTTATTTATTTCATCCCCAGCACTTCGCATAGAGCTTGGGGCACTGGGACATAACAGGCATTCAAGAAATATTTGTTGGATGAGTGAATGAAAGAGCAGAAAGTTAAGGTGCTTCATGTGTAAGGGCCTCAGTTTTCTCAGAGAGATAGGAGGTAAGGTTTTCCTCTGAGAATTAGGGGAGGTGGGTATTGAATTGAAGAGGTCCTTGAGGAGTGGGTGAATGTTTGGAAAGCTCTGAGGGGAGCTGCAAGTAGAAGGGCAGTGCCATGATCTACACTATCACAGGCCTTTGTAGCAGAGCCTTCCACCTGGGTGAACACAGATGGAAGTTTGTTGTTATGACTCTGTTTTACGCAGAGTGTAAGCATAGGTTTAGGGTTACAAAGGAGTTTCAAAGTGCTGAAGAAAGTGGTCCAGGCGAGCAACTAGGGGACCAGCTTCCTAAGGAAGTAAGTATGGAAGCTGGTGGGGAGGAGAGGGAAGAAGGAACTGACCAAAGGTCAGGTCCAAGGGCAGAGATGACTGAAGTAAGGGGAGAGCTAGAATGCTCTAAGGTCATGGTCAGAAAGGAGAGTATTGGAATTTAAGATTTAAGTGTATCAAATTCAGGTGATGACAAATTCCAGGGTGTGGTCAGGATGTGGGTGGCTCAAGTGAAAGTGTCAACAAGGCTGAAGGCGTGGTAGCTCTTGATTTATACATCCGGGGAAGCCAAGCCGTGAAAGGAAGAAATGTTGGGTGTGGGTGTTCTCTGTGAGCAAATGTCTCCAGTACCAGCAGAAGTCTGTTTTAGTGGAAACAGGTTTTTCAGGATTTTTCTATTGCAATAATCAAATCTCTAGAAACTGGATTACNAAAACTCTGGAGAGGGCCCAAAAGTTAATATATATACCAAAAATATCTTAGGAGAGTAATTCTCATTTAATTCTCTATGTACCCCGCAAATTAAATTATCCTTTTGCTCCCAGTAGAACATCCTTATCCAGTATAAGTTTGCACAGAATTTTTTTTGGTGTGCATTTGTTTCTTTTATTTTTATCTAACTTACTTTTCTACTATAAAATATTTAGGATTTTAATCTGGCTAAGAATTTCTCTCCAGCTCCTTTCTTCCAAGGAATCCTGTTGAAATGATACATTATACGTTTTTATTTTGCTCTTAGGCACCTCTTCCATTGGGGCACATAAAGCGAATGCAAGAGGTGTACAACTTCAATGCCATTAACAATTCTGAAATACGATTCAGGTACATCATTTTAACTTGTCTCTGTGGAAGAAAGTGGAAAACTAATTTAAAAGGTGGAGAAAGGGGAAGCAGAGTATGAGGCATTCATGAATCTTGAGAAATCCTTGTCAAATTTATTGCTTATACATAACTATAGTGGGTTTTTTTTTAAGAAATAGCTGCAATACTATAAGATGATAGTATGAATTTCTTTATTAGCATTTGTTCTAAGCTTCTCTTGCCTTTAAAAAAGGTTAGAATAAAGGATTCAATGGTAAATAGGCGTTCTTCCACAACTAGCCAAATTGCCTCTGAAATGGGAATAATTAGAAATCTTTGATTCTGTTATGTGATTAATCTTTCTTAATTCAGATTTGTAGTGTGAGGTTTAAACCAAAGTTTATTTCCTTCAGAAATGACATATATAAGGTACATGAGCACCTACATAATCCAGACCTTTTAAAACATATGATCTTTTTAAAGAACAAACTCCTCTTCCTTCTCTTCTCCAATTATTAAAATGTATATATGTCTGTATGAGATTCTCAGAATAAAGACATAATATAGTGTACAGTGTAACTATCACAGGATTATTCATCATTACAAAAGCAATTTTCAGGTATACCTGTCATATCCTGCCTCTTCCTCCTCGTTTCCTCCCCCATATCCCCTAAAAATCCTCCTTTCAGATGGTTACGGCTCTGCATTCAATCGAAATGGGAGGAAGCCATTCCTTTGGCTTTAAAAATGGTGACTGAACAAGGAAGAATGAAGTTTACACGACCCTTATTCAAGTAAGAACCAAATCAAACTATGCTTTGAATTTATATAAAGAATGGGGAAGAAAAATCTTAAATGAATGTTCTTGTTGTTGCTAAAATACTTTGTAAAATGCAACTAAAAATCATACATGTTTTTAAATTTGTTAAAGATTATAGGTTTAATTTTGGAATAGGAATTAACTTCTAAATATTTAAAATTTGGGAAAATTTCATTAGCTTTTTTAGAAGCATTATGTATGGACTACCTAATACGGGCCAGATAGGGTTAGACACTGGTGAAAAGGAAATAAATCGAAGACAACCTTATAGGCACAGAAAGATCTTTAAAAACAAGTGGAAGATAATTAATTGGTGGGTCGGCATGGACAAGAAAAACAGAGCCTGAAGTTAAGTGCAAGAAGAATGGAGCAGGTAAAGCGGAACTTCTTGATCCAAATGTTGCAATGAGGTGGAAGGGTAGGTTGCTGGACATATAACAAAGGAATGCTCAAGAAAAGGGGAAAAAGTTGTATCTTGAATATTTCAGTGAAATTATTTTAACTATGGATTTGACAGGAGTTCTGAAAAAAATATAACCATAACATAAATAGCCATGATTAATCAGTTTACTTTTCGTTTACTTCACAAGCATCATAAAATTCGCCAAAAGAAGTCATTACCCTTCTTTCTTTTTTTTCGTTTTTGCAGGGACCTTGCTGCCTTTGACAAGTCCCGTGATCAAGCCATTCATACCTACCAGGAGCACAGAGCCAGTATGCATCCTGTGACCGCCATGCTGGTGGGGAAAGATTTAAAAGTGGACTGAGNTTATTCTTTCCCCTAGGGCGCAAACTCTCTTGCAGTAGGTTCAATGGCAACTTCTAATCAAAACTTACTTCATTTAGGCCATAAGGCCAGATACCCCTCTATTCTCTAATAGAAACGTTTCACAGAAAGCAAGCATGATACACAAAGAGGACAATGTTTTGCAAGAATTTTGCACACAATACATGGCTTTTCCATTGTTGTAAAACATACGATTTATTTTCTAAGGTGAGAACAAACAAAACTTAGTGTAACTTACTTGGCTTAATGGTCAGAGTTTATTTCCACTTTTTTCTGAACAGAGAGGGACAAAATCATCACGTGACTTCAGAGTCACCCAAGGGTCTTCTGTGACACCAGTATTTCCCCAGCGTCTAGAACAGTGCCTGTCTCATAAGTGCTCGCAGATTTGTTAGATGGTTAGATAACTGGAACAGCTGAATGTAAGATCCATGAGAGCAAGGACTCTGTTGTTGTTTATCTGTTGTCCCGAGTGCCTAGAACTGCTCCTGCCACGCTAAATATGCTCACCTGAGTCCCAGCTACTTCAGCATATACTCGTGAAGCTTATGACAGTGTTTCCTGAGATGTTTTGTCATTCTCTCCAAAGAATAATCAGGTGTTTCATTAATTTGGTATCCACTTGGATTTCCAGGTTCTTAGATGACGCCAGTGATGTTTAGGTCAGGTAGATTTCTTGCTCCCATCATTCTGGAGTTCTTTATCTTTATTTTAAAAGAACTTTGAAGTATGTTCTGTAACTTCAAAATTGCATTTATGCAAAAGCATGTGCATTTTTGTAAAATTTAACCTGTTTTTTCTTCTTTGCAGTTATGATATGACTCTGACAAACGCTTGTATTGCCTTAAGTCAAAGATGGATTACTGTGAGTAGTGTGATTCTTTCCTCTTTTTTGATTGTATCAATGTGTCTCTGTGCATGAAGGAGACACATAAAAAAAGTTTGCAAAGTTATTTGCATTTATCCCTTTTTCTTCATAAATCTTTTATAAGATACTGCTTCAAATATAGCCATTACACATACCAGATAATCT